CCTAAGGAAGCAGTAATCACGCATCCAATCCAAAGAAAACATTTATGTGATACCTTTCCCATCACTGACAGCAGTTTAGTCAAGTCGCTGAACTGCAAGGCTGTATTTTTTATGGGCGGTTACATCAAGCTGAGTTTTCCAATAGATTTTCCATATAGAACCAAAATCTACAGCATTAAAAGGTCTGCACAGGCCAGATAACCCTACGTATGTTAAACTTTTATAGCTTACATGATTGTAGGAACATTCTTGAATAACTGTGATTTATTCAATACTTAACTTTAAGAATTAGCTCCTTTTCAGAGACAGCAATCATGCAGTCATTAACAGATGTGCCCATTTCTATAATGATGTCAAAGGGAGGCAACTTTGTTAATAATTGTTCAAAATCTTGCAGGAAAAGAAGGTTGTTACAACTGATATTTAAATAAATGTTTACTACCTACACTGAAAAATACAAAAACATTTTACCTAGAATGAACTATACAATTTCAAAGGGACCACGTATGTAAGTCTTGATTCTTGACATATTACTTAAGATTTATACCAGAGTAAATCTAATGAATGCACTGCAGTTAAAGCTTAAAATGGTCACTTTCAAACATTTAATACTCAAATAATGTTGGTATGGAACAATGCATACCTACGCCACCTGATAGAGATGACATTTAATATTTTAAAAATTAAAGGTATATGAAATACTGTTGGACATTTTCTTATTTATCAAGAAGGCTACAGCTAACAATAATTTTATTATTTTTTGTTCCCAGGCAATGGTGAGATAACTTTCAAAGCGGCAAGACTAATTTTTTTAAGTTCTTTACAACCTCCTAGAGAACTCAAATACAGTTTTTGAGCTAAAGTTGAACTGTTAGTTACATTAACAAATATTCGTATGATTTCTCATCTTCCTATTCAGTCACAAACAAGATGTGAAATATACCAAATGTTTCAGATAAAACATACTAGACATTTTATTGCCACTATCACAATAAAGGCTTTGCCTTTGAATTCTTGGAGGTACTATTAACAAAGAAGCATTTTTTCCCCCTAAATAAGTAGCTTGATTCAACATGATTTCTAAATCATCTGAGATAACGTGACTTTTTCTCCTCCACCAAAATGCTTTAGAAATATTGCCAATGTATTACTACACAAATCAAGAAAAAAAACCATGATGGCCAGCAACGGACCTGACCAGGAATCAGAAAACAGCACTCTTCTCCCATAGCAAACAGCTCTTCTGTGCCATCTCAGATTTAGCAAACAGTTGCCTAATTATTTACTGTCACAGCCAGACACACGGTCAGCAGACAGGATCTGGAGACGTACAAATACCCTGGTTTCAACTGTTAAAGCAACAAGGTACTTGGTATTGCACGGCCTTCAAGATCCGCAGCATACTTTGGCTGCCGAAATGGATGAAGGGTAAAATTTCACTTTTCTATACATTGAAAAAGGACTGCTTTTCTCTTCCCGAATCAAACTGTCCAAACGTCTTTATGACACAGCTTCATACAATCCCAAGCCCTCCAAGACAGGCAATGAATTTTGTACAGCTGACTCTGCTAGTTACAATACTCAACAGCTGAGGCATAGATAATTTGGCACCCTGATAATGCCCTAGATGAATATGAGAGCATTCTGCAGACTGTAAAAAAAGAAGTATTAGCATTAAAATTATGAATTGGAGCTCATCTTAAAAATATAAAGTTAACATGGTTTGCATTTGATTAAGGCGGTGTTTACAAAACTGAAAAATTCAGAGAAATGGCACTCCCTCTTCAAAGCCTATATTGTAGCAATTCTTTTCTGATTAGATCAGCTCCCATAGCAAGTCATCAGAACAACAATCGCTGTAGTGAAGTCATACTACTGAGACTCGGATGGGAAATCATGACCAGCTTGGAAACATATTTTTAAAAATAATGTGTTTTCCAGCTTTCCAATATATCTTAATTAAAACAAGTTCAAATCTTTACCTTTGCTCCCAATGGCTGAATAAAGTATACCTCAAGCAGCAAAACACAGCATACCAATATACTGAATATGACACTACAAACTAAAACAAAAGAAATTGGATCCTTCTGAATAATTTCAGGATTTGGCTGTCACCGAAAACAGCATCTGAATGGACCCAACATTACCCCCACAATATGATATACTCAAATATTTCCAGAATGTCCTTTATTTTTAATAGAGATGTGAATTAGTTTTACGAGTTTATTTTAATTAAAAATCCCTTTGTCCCCCAACACTTAAAAAACAAATCTTTCAGTCCTTTTCCCGATAAACCGCTCACTGAAATAGGGGAGATTAGGCCTATTATCTTTCCCAGGTTTTTAAGCAAGTAGACAAACTGATATGAAATGAACCTCATTAAACCTGACTCTAGCAGCAAATCAAAGGTAATCTAAAGCAGAATAGCAGTGCTTTGGATTAGAACAAGAAGAGAAAAACAAGTTTTTGTAGTGTTTCTTCATTTACAAAGTAAGCAGTCTACTTGCTTTAAAATTTTGCAAAAATCAGTTCAGGAACACATAAAGTAATTGATGACTCAAAAAAACAGAACAGAGATGTGCTTTTGAAGATGATGTATTACAAACTGTAATTATTTCTCAACTAAAATGCAGTAATACATTTCAGTACAGAAATAGCGCACATGCTCCATAGCTGCATTGACACAATGGGCAACAGACACAAAGGAATCATTAGTCAATACTGTTAATGACACATGAACTTGCAAGTGACACAGGTATAAAGTAGACTCAGACCTGACAAGCTCTCATGTCAAAACAACCATCTGTAGAGGGTTTATTTTTCAAAATATTACCACTAACAACCTGGATTAAAAAAAAAAAAATCAACTATCCATATCTTCAAATCAAGCCGTCTTAAACTATGCCACTCCCATTCCCATCAGTGGAAACCATTTAACCAAAATCTTCAGAACCGACTGGAAACATACAGCTGAAAAATTTCAGATATAAAATCTAACCTCTCTCTTCCCCAAACATTACAAAAGCACTGCCAATGTCAGCATATGCTGTGGCATGCTGCAAAAACTTTCTGGGATGAAGATTCAATCTGAACAGTTAACCCTACCTCTTTTTCACTTGAATTAGAATCAGAGCTGTAACACTTTTAATAAGCATTTTCAGATTTAGTGTTAGCAGATGTACTGAGAGTAATGAATCACGTCTCCCAAACCATCTCTTCCATCCCGATTAATCTAAGAAAGCAACATAACTTACATTTCTAGCAAGATAAATCTAGCTATAAAGGCCCTTTTCCTGTACTTTTCTGTATTTGATGAAAAAGCTCAGGTGCTACATGAACGAAGATCGTTCTTTGCCCGACCGCAGAAAAAAAACAAAATCAAAAGGTCAAAATAACCTGAAGCTTTAAATCCAAACGCACATCAAGACGTAAACCACCCCGTCCGCGAAAAGAGATTTTGAAGCGCAAGAGACTGCGTCTCACCCGCTGGTGACGAGAGGCGGCGTTTTTATTTTATCGCGGAACCCACCGACGTCCGTTCCCCGCACGGAGACACCCCGCAAGGGACCCGGGACCAGCCGTGTCTCCCCTCACACCGGCGGCGGGGACGGGAGCACCTGGCCGCCCCCAACCCCCCCGTCCGCGGCAGCCGGGGGCAAGCGGCAGCCGGGGGCAAGCGGCAGCCGGGGGCAAGCGGCAGCCCTACCTTTGTATCTCTCCAAGACATCTTCGTAGGCTTGCAGGTACTCCTGCTCCTCCGCGTAAAAGTACGCGCCGGGGGAGAGGTAGCCAGCCATGGCCGGGGGGCTTATCCCTACCCTGCAGCGGCTCTGAGCAGCCACAGCCTCGGGGACGGCACAAG